ATGCAGATGATACCGTATTGATATAAGACACGCAAGAAAAATTACAACTAATAGAGACTAAACAGCATGCATAAGAAGAGGACTCAAAATAAACCTAAACAAAATGAAGTTACGGGAATTACTCGAAGTAAGGAACATCTGAGGGTAGAAATATATATATATATATATTTTTAATAAGCTGACCACAAATATGAGCATGGGATTAAACAATAGGATCATACTGCTGAACTGTTTCGTGTGGTCCACCCAGCTGTATGGCTGGGAAGCTGAAGAAACTCAAACTCGAACTGTGTCTCGGAAGAATCCCCTGGACCACAAGAGCCACGAATGAGGGTTTAAGAAGAGCTGGTGTAAAAAGAGCAAGCCCTGCTCACGAACGAAATAGACAAGATACAAATGAAATTCGGGGGGTATGTGGTACGAGCAAAGGATACAGAATATGACTGCATGATGGGGAAGAAGGATGGCAAGAGAGCATGGGGCAGACAGAAAGAAGTGAATGGACAGTTTGTTGAGTTTATGGGCGGAAGGAGAAGTGTAGCAGGGACTGTAAGAATGACAGGTCGAGAGGGATGCCGTGCCATGATCACCAACGTCATAAGACCAGCACTGCAGAAACAGTAGTAGTATGTATATAAATATATACATAAAGATATGCATACACACACACACACACACACACATATATATATATGTATACATTTTTACACACACACATGTGCAAGTAGAACAGTGAAGGGAAGTACAGGAAAACACACGAATATGCCAAAGGCCTTTTCGCATTTACTGCTTCATCGGGGCATACAGAACAAGAGATACATAAAAGTATATATACACATGTACTTGGCGGTCAGGTCACGTCGGTGATCAGGTGAGTGACTTGCTTAGCTAGTTCGTGACTCCCCGTTGCGGTGTTGAAGTTGTTAGTAGAGTGTATGTATGCCGCTTCTAGCTTATTCTTCTGTCGTGGGGGCAGGCCTTGTTTCATGGAGGCCTGGGACCACTTAGGGAGATGGCCTTCGGTGTTGACGTGAACAACGAAGGCGCTCCTGTTGTCATGCCGGAGGGCGGTGCGGTGTTGGTCGATTCGTTGTTGGTGGAGGCCTCGTCCTGTGTCACCTATGTAAACTTTATCTTAGCCGCCGCAAGGTATGCTGTACACCTGGCTAAGAGGTCTGTTGTGGTCTGACCTCTTTTCCCTTACGATATCTCCGATCTTCTTACCAGACGCAGTGGCTATCTTCATCTGTGGCCCAACAAGGCCTCCAGGTGTAAGAATACACACACGCACACACACTTGTGTGTGTGTATGTTAATATATGAATATAAATATATATATAAATAAATAAACAAATATATATTTATATATGTATATATATAGACATACACATAATACTACACACACACACACACATATATATATGTGTGTGTGTATGTATACATATATATGTATATATATGTAAACATATAAATATATGCATATATATATATATACATATATATATTTATTTGTACATATGTGTATATACATAAATATTTAAGTATACATATGTATACACATATACATATACATATTTATATATACATACATATATATATATATATATACTCATAATGATTTCATATTCATGCCAACAGAAACTACAACAATAATTGCTAAAACTAATCCAGGATGGTCAACTAATACCAGGTAAGGGGATCATGCAGTGAATGTTACCTGAAAATTACAAAATCTATTTTACGGTTTACGTATGTTTAGACAAAAAAAAAAAAAAAAAAAAAAAAAAAAAAAAAAAAAAAAAAACTTTCTGCTGATGAACTATAATCTAACATTTCATAGTAGTGTAAGGCTATAATCACTTTTAATTCATTACAAATAAAAGCTCCATTTGATTCACTGCTTGACGTGAATTTATCACACTACAAAGCTCATTATTAATTTATTTCAAGGCTTCAGTTCGTCACACTACAAAGCTCAAATTTAATTCACTACAGGGCTTGAACTCATCTTACTACAAAGTTTCATTTCATTAACTACAAGTCATTTCATTTTACTGCGAGGCCTCCATTCATCAAGCTGCAAAACCTCATTTCGGTTAACCTCAAAGCTTGATTTCATCATAAAACACGGTTTTGATTCATCACACTGCAAATGTTTTGATCTTGCATCATACTCTCCAGCTCGGGTAATCTACAAGAAGACTTTGGTTTGTCGCAAAGTAATGCAACTGCAACAGCAATGAAGATGATTTCTGACTTGAAAAAGGTTAGCCTTCTGCCCAGCGACATCCTGAGAGCTGTTGATGCCCTCACGGCGCTTGAAAAGGAATATGAAAAGGAACTCGATCGTACTGAGAATGACAGGGCGCCGGAAATGGCTAAGGTTTGTTGCATTTGTTTTGAGATAATTTTTTGGGCCATATTTATTTTCATAGATTATAAGTACTTAACTGAATCCGCTTTTTTGTTGTTTTACGCGATAAGGAATTAACCCAGGCTATTGGAAATGAAAAGCTTAGCAGAATATTTATGTCGCTGGTATTTTAGCTGAGACTGCATCTTCCAAGATACCCGTACACACACGCACGTACTCACGCACATATATGTATAGTGCTATATAGTTCCAAGATCATTATCAAGGTTATTATACTTTCAAGTTCCTTATTTTTATCTGCATATGCATATTTGTCTTGTCCATAAGGAAAAGTATTAATATCTCTATTGTCATCATATTCTTAGACACACTTGCCAGGAATTGATTTTTGTTTGTGTGTCTCTCATTTTACATACATATTTGTCTGACTGTCTGAAGTTCAGTCTCTCTCTCTCTCTGTGTCTTCCTTTCTCCCTCTGCCTTTTTCTTAATTCCCTCTACGCCTCCATCTCCTTAACCTTCTCTCTCTCCAGTGCCCTTTACCCCCCCCCCCACCCCTCTCTCTCTCCATTTCCCTCTTACCCTCCTTCCCCATCTCCTTCTTCCTCTTACTCTCCCTCCCTTTCTCCCTCTCCCTCTTACTCTCCTTCCCTTTCTCCCTTTCCTTCTCTCCTTTTCCCTCTCCCTCCCCCTCTTACTCTTCCTCCCTTTCCCCCTCTCCTCCCTCTTACTCTCCCTCCCTTTCCTTCTTCCTATCTCATCTTCTCCCTTCTAATCTTAGGAGTACATGGCTGATGTCATCGAGGTGTCAGGAGAGGTGCTTGAGGAGCCGAATCCCTGGCAGGAGCTGACAGAGGCTGACAGTGAGCGTGCGTCAGGGAAAATGCAGGCCACAGTCACGTCAGCAGCTGTCAAAGTCGCGGAACTGCTCAGCAACGGAACAGAGGATTTCGAGACGGAAAACCTTCGTAAGAGTTAGGAGTTTTTTCCTCCTCCTCTTCTTCATCTTCATGTTCTTCTTGTTCTTCTTTTCGGTGGCAATGAATCGTGTGGAATGGATTGAGTTTAAGATGTGTCTACATTTGCCCGTCTGTTTGTCTGTCCATATATCTGTCTATATATCTGTTAGTGTGTCTATGTCTGTCTGTTCTCTGTCAGGCTGTCTCTGTCTGTCTGCCTGTCTCTCTATCTACCTTTGTGTTTTAAGTATTGTATATATTCCAATCTGTTCATATACCTATATTCTGTATTTGAGATGGGAGCGCACACTTGAACTTATTAAGGTAGGAATGAGGATAACCTACGTTACTTTTCCTTTTGAAATGTATGCTTTTGTCTCAGTAAAGTAAAAAAAAACAAAAAAAAAACTCAATCTGTGTGCGCGCGCGTGTGTGTATATGCGTGTGTATGTGTATAAATATAGATAAGATATATCATATATATATATATTTATATAAACATACATACACATATCTGTGTATATATATAGGTGGTCGCAAGAAGCAGATGAGCAAAAGGACACTGAGCAATGTAATACCTCTGTAGTTGCCACAGTCCCTTTGATCCCCTTTCCCTTTCCAGATAGGGATGAATAGAAATATGTATATATATGTATGTTTTATTTGTTCAGCAGTCATACATTCCACTGCAGGGTCTAGGCCTCTTCCCAATTCATTATTGATAGGTTATTTGGCCGTGCACACACACATACATACATATATGTGTATATATATATTTAATAATGTGTGTATATATATATATATATATATGTGCACACACACACGCATATATATATATATATATATATATATATATATATATATATGTATATGTATAGGTATACACATATATACATATGTGTGTGTGTGTGAGTGTGTCCATCCATCTATTAATATATATAAATATATATATATATACATATCTCACGCTTTCTTTGATCTACTACCAATATGCACCTGCTTTGGTGAGCGTTCTTCTGTTCCCTACTATTGTGAGCATCGATTTTCACCCTTTCAGCCTGAGGAAACAATTATCACTGCCGTGTCGAGCAAGCTCGAAAGTACTTACATATATATATATGTGTGTGTGTGTGTACAGATACATATATATATCATACACACACACGCAAATATATTTGCAGACACACACATACACACGTGTGTGTGTATCTGTGGATGTGTATCTTTGTCTATGTCTATGTATGTATTATGATATGCCAGGGAGGATACCGACCTAATCGGTGCCTTTGTTAAATTATAATGATTTAGATAGCTGTATCTCTCGCATTGGCTAACTCTGGCTATCAGTCCCTTTCTGATACAATTATTTTGCCTTCTCTCTCTCTCTCTCTCTCACACACACACACACGTACACGCACACACACAAACGCGCGCGCACTGATATATATATATATATATATATATACATATATATATATATATACATACATACATATACATATATACATATACATACGTAAATATATACATATATATGTATACATATATATATATATATGTAATATATATATATATATATATATATATATATATATATATATATATATATATATATATAATGTCTGTGTACATGTATAAAGATATTGTATATTTATGTCCGTGTGTGTTTTGTATGTATAAAGATTTTGTATAAATGCAATTGTGTATATATATGTCTGTGTTCGTGTGTGTGTGTGCATGTGCATGTGTGTGTGTGTGTGTGCGTGCGTGTATATATATACATATATATAAATATGTGTAAATATGTATGTACATATATGTATATATATATACATAATAGATGGACATATACAAACACACAAACATATATATGCATACATACACATTTATATATATGTATACATATATATATTTATATATATATGTATACATATATATACTTATATATATATATGTATACATATATATACTTATATACACATATGTATACACACGCACACACACATATATATATTTATATATACTTATACATATATAAGTATATATATGTATACATATATATACTTATATACACATATGTATACACACACGCACACACACATATATATATTTATATATGTGTGTGTGTGCATGTGTGTGAGTGTGCGTGTATGTGTGTGTGGAAGTTTGTGTGTGTGCGTGTGCGCATATATATATATATGCATATACAGATACACACACGTACATATATACACATACATATGTATATATACACACACACGTATATAGATATATATACATATATATATATATATATGAAGTATACTTATCTCTCTATATATAAGTATATTTATTTACATAATATGTATATATGTATATATATATGCATATATACCGACCCTCGTGGCCCAGAGTTCAATTCCCCGCCGCGGTAGTCGTAAAAATGCCTGTGCATTGATTGCTGGTTCCAGCCCTAGAAAACGACATATCACCTTGAAAAGTCAAACGCAGGTGCCGTAGGGGAAGTCACCGCCGTGGCACAAGTGTTATCACGTCGAACTCCGGTTGATTAGGAAGAGCATCCAATCATGCAAGGGTGACACTGCCATAGAACCTCTCAATAGTGAATTGAGAGAGGCCTATTCCAGCAGTGGAATGAATATCTGTTGAAAAAAGAAATATATATACACACATATAAACATATATACATCAGTGGCGTGGTGACTCCTATTTGGCTAGGGGAGCACTAGTCTTTTTGGGCGCCCCTTTGAGAACTGCGCCCTTGGTACAAATGTATTTGATTAGGCAATGGTAAGGCTCATAACAGGTTGAACTGTAGGCGCGTTTTCGGAGCGCTGTAGATTTTTTGTACATATTTGCTTTCAGTGAGCTTTTGGCGCCCTCTTGGAGAGTTGAGACAACTTCGGCGCCCCCTGCTTTTTCTTCGCTAGGGGGGTACGTGCCCCCCCCCCCCGACCACCACGCCACTGATATACATAGACACACACACACATATATACATATATATATTTTCAATAGCCATTTATTCCACTGCAGGGCATAGGCCTCTCTCAATTCACTATGAGCGGTTATTTGGAAGTACCATCCTTGCCTGATTGGATGCCCTTCCTAATGAACCGCGGTTCGGCGCGCTAACACTTGTTCCACAGCGGTGACTTCCCCTACACCTGCGTTTGACTTTTCCAGGCGATATGTCGTTTTCTCGTCGTGAGATCGGGCTCGAGCCAGCAGTCGGAGCACAGGCATTTTTACGACTGCCGCGGCGAGGAATTGAACTCGGGACCACGAGGGTTGGAGACCAGTACTCTAACCACTGGACCATCGCAATAGTCATGTATATATATACCTATATATGTATATATATATTCATATGTACATATATGCATATATATAGACATATATATACATATATATGTATATACACATATATACATATATACATATATACACAGACAGACACATATATATGTATATATATTATATATATGTGTATATATAAGTATGTATATGCATATATATACTTAAACATGCAAACTTTAAAAATATTCTGTTCTGTACTAAGACCTACTCTTTCGCACTACCATAGACCAGTAAAAGATATTTCTTACCACGCAACTAAAAATGTTTTTTCCATGCCACCACATACCAGGACCGACTCTATTCCACTACTACACCTGGCAAAAAAAAAAAAAAAAAAAAAAAAAAAAAACGGTCTCCCATACAGAAACAAAACAATATTTTTTATTCTACCCTATCACGATACACTATCCCTATTCCAAAAGAAAACAAATTAATAGTAAAAACAGACCACCACAGACTAACTAAAAGTATCTCATACACTGCCACATTTAAAGACCAGTTTTTCCACACTACCATATACAAGCTTTTAAAAACCCAACATATTAAACCCTAAGAAAACATATTTTCTACACTACCAAATACTAACAAAATGTTTGCCACATATTGGACCCTTTACCTCCCTACCAGATGTACGCGTATCAAGTCGTCCTGCGAACGACTATAACGTCACGACTCGCAGATACGACCACATTTATTACCCCAACACTTGCATTGAGCTTCCTGAACTTTTCTATCGCGATTACGTCGATGAGGATAACAACGTGAGGGTCGTTTTTATGTCATATACGACCCTGCACAGCGTCACCAACACTATACCGCTGTAAGTTCATTCGGCGCTGTTCGGTTCTCTGTTGTTTTGAATCTGGGTGGATTTTAACCTTTGGTTATGTACTTTGGAATATATTTGAAATATAAAAATGGGTGAATGTGATATATGGTATAAATCTCATTCACGCACACACGCACATACATGCTTGTGTGTGTAAAAATGTCACAATATATTTCTTTGATAAAGAAAATATAGTCTTTGAACGCTGCAAATGAAAGATTTTAGTTGTTAAGAATTTTTTCATACTAACACGTTGGTTCATCTGCGTTCACAGCGACCCTAAACAGGCTTCCCCCGACGTCTTTCCAGCTAAAGGTCAGGTCAACAGCGGAATTATCAATGTCATTGTTGGTCAAAAGGGACTCTGGCGCGCAGGTAAGGTCATCGGGTTCGTATCTCGATCTTTATCTAAGGATCAAGAGGCAAATGTGTTAATATGCACGTTGTATCTTTATTAACACTTGTCCTTTGATATCTAAAGATACATAAAGATAAAATTTACGAAGTTGACAGATATGCATGTTATATCTTTCTGCCTTTTTCGTTTTTTTCTCTTTTTTTTCCTTATCTCTTCTCAATATTCTGTTTTGTCTTTCTTTTCTTTCTTTATATTTTTGTACTTTTTTTCCAATTCATTTTTTTCGTTTTCTTTTTCTCTTTTTCTTTTGCTCTTTTTTATCTTACTCTTCCCCCTTTTCTGGTCATTGTCTTCATTCCCTTTCCCCTTTCCTTCTTTTCTCAACTTTTTCTACTACTCCTCCACCTTTAAATTGAGCTGAATCCCCTCTAATCCTTTCACCTCCGTCCCTCCACTCGTATCCTTCCATTTCCTTCTTTCCCCCCATCCCTTCACTAACTCTTCTACCTACCTTCCTCCACTTCCTTCTCTTTCCCCCCCTCCCTTCACTTTAACTCGTCCACCTACCATCTTCCACCTCCCTCCCTCTACTCTTCCACATCCCTCTCTTCCTCCACCTTCGACCTCCCTCACTCCCTCCTTCTACCTACTTCCACAATTCCACCTACCTTGCACAGGCGACGGCGAGACAACAAAAGTGAAATTCGGCCACGTGTACAAAGGCGATGGGTTCCTCCTCGCCAACCCCAGCTGTGTGTGGTGGGACGAGGCAGCCTACGCCTGGAACACGAGTGGGTGCGCCCTCAATTACACGGACGCCCACGTAACGATCTGTCGCTGCAACCACCTGACGTCCCTCGCTCTCCTGATGGACGTTCGTGGATTCTTGGCGAAGGAAGGAGTAAGGGAGGTTAGTTAATGGTGCTTAGAAGTATCCGACGGTGGTGTTGCTGATATTATTATTGTTGGTGTGGTGGTTATTATCAATGTCATCTCTATCATTATCATTGCTATTGATGTTATCTTTGTTATCATTATCACTATTATTGTTGTTGTTTATAGTGTTATTATGACACATCTTTATCATTGTTGTTATTGTTATTGCTATTGCTTTTGATCTTGTTATCATTATCACTGTTATTATTGTTGTTTATAGTGTTATTATGACTGCCATCTTTATCATTGTTATTAATTTTACTATTGGTATTATTATTGTTGTTATTGCAGTTTGTTTTATCTGGTGTAGCTACTGGTATCATTATCATTGCCATATGTTGGTGTTCTCTTGTGTGTCTCGTGTTGCTGGTATATTTATCCTTATTATCATTATTGTTGTAACTGTTGTTGTTGATGCTGTTATCATCACTATCATCCATTACTATTGGCATCATTATTACATTTGTTACTGTCCTATTACATTTTATTATTCATATACAATTATCAATTACCCCCTCGCCCTAAACTAGTCACAACGATTTAAAAGGAGGAGAAGAACAACAGACAACAACAGGAACATCAACAAAAAAGTAGAAAGCATCAATATCAGAACGGCGCTCTCTTTCCCAGAACCCCGCCTACCTCGCCGGCAAATGGCTAACCCTCTTTGGCTGCAGCGCCTCCGCCATCTGTCTCGTCCTCTGCATCGTCTGCATCCTCGCCCTCAAGCAGCTGCGGGAGACCACCTGCTGGAAGACCCGTTGCCATCTGTGCGTGAGTCTCCTGTTAGTGCAGCTGCTCGTGATGGGCCTCGACGCCACAGAAATACGGTGGCTGTGCTTATCCGTTGCTGTGTGGCTTCACTTCGCCATGCTGTCGGCGTTCACGTGGGGGGCCGTCGAGTCTTTTAACATGTATATGAAGTTTGGCAAGGTGAGCGCGGCCTTCTCTTGTGCTTCTTCTGACGATGATGATGATGAAATGATGATTATTATTGTAATTATTATTGTCATTATTATTACCCTCATGATCACGATCACTATCATTGTCATTATTATTATTATTATAATTAATATTGTTGTTTTGTTGTTCTTGCCATTATTATCATTATCATAGGTATTGTTATTATTATCATGATTATGATTACTACTACCATTATTATTATGATTATTATCATTATTATTATTATCATTAATATTATTATTATTACTATTATCCTTACTGTTATTACCATCATCATCTTCATCATTATTATTACTATTATTTCTTTTTTTTACTCTGTAAAAAAGAAGCTGATGCATTTTGAATAACCATTTTGAATAACACATTATAAAATACTACAGTACTGATGTATTCAACGTCAAGTTTTCTCCAATAATTCTGATGAAGATATGATATCAAACGCTAATTGATATATATTAATTCCAAACATTTATGTCCCTACATTCTAATTCGTACTTACTTTCCAACATTTTCCTTTTCAAAGTGCACTCTGCTTGATCTTTGACATTCTTCTCAACAGGTATGGCGTACGCAGAGGTCATTGGTCAAGTTCTATGTGGGCGTCGGATATGGCTTCCCCGCCGTGGTAGTTTCGACGACCCTTGCTGTCAGTAAGACTCACGGTTATTACACTGAGACAACGTGAGTAATCTATTTTCGCGTTTTGTGTGTCTGTTTCTGTCTGTGTGCGTTTTGTGTGTCTGTTTCTATGTTTGATGGAGGGATGTTACATAATCTTATGAAGGTATGGGTGAGTTTTTATTTACTTTAAAAGATGGGGTGACCAACTGAAGATATAAAAGAAATAATTGAATAGTGGTCCCTGAGGGATATAGAAAACATTTTCTTTTATAGATGCTGGTTGGCACCCGGGGCGATGATGTGGACGTTCTTTGGCATCGTGGCACTGATCCTCGCTGTGAGTCGCATTCTTGTGTGTTTCTGTCGGTGTTCTGTGTCTGTTTGTTTGTGTGTTTCTGTATGTTTCTGTGTCTATGTGCGTTTTGTGTGTCTGCTTTTGTGTCCGTGTGTGTTTTATGTATCTGTTTCTGCAATTCTGTGTTTTTCTGTGTCTGTGTGCGATTCTGTGTGTCTGTTTCTGTGTCTGTGTGTATTTTGTGTGCCTATGTGCGATTATGTGTGTCTGTTTATGTGCCTGTGTGCGTTTTGAGTGTGCAAGTATATGTGTTTGTTCTATGTCTGTATTCGAGTGTGTGTCTGTTTCTATGTTCGTTTGTGTCTGTTTCTGCGCTTCTGTGTGTCTCTTTCTGTGTCTGCGTCAGTGTCTTTATTGCATCTGTTTCTGTGTATTTGCGTACATCTGTGTTTATTTATTTATTTATTTTTTATCAGGAATGTGCCTGTCTGCGGCTCTTGCTATCTGTCTTTCCGTCTGTGTCTATGTATTTCCTGTTTGTCTTTTTTTCTGAATCTCGTCTTTATCTTTACGCCTGTGTCTGTTCCATCTCTATATATCTCTTTGTTAGTGTCTCTTCTTATAAAGAGAAAAACAGTTGAACTAAATTTACTGCAGTGTTTGATTTCCTTTTCTTTGGTCTGGACTTAAATGAAACATGTTACAGTTTTATTAACTGTCAAAACATATCACCAAACTAGCAATGACTATAAGGGTATTTTTTTTTTTTTTTTGTCTTTTGTCTTTTTGAGTTTGCATATTAGTTCAGTTTGGGTTTACTCTTTCTGTCTGTCTGTTTGTCTATCTGACTATCTGTCTCTCTCTGTCTCTCTCTCTCTCACTTCCTCTTTCTTCCTCTCTCTCACTCAGTCTCTCCTATATTTCTAAATATCTATTTCGAATATTTTACATCGGCACAAAAATCAAATCTTCCTCAGTATAATTATTTCTGTTTTTTATCATCGGCAATTTGCTATCGCCAAAGGATAATCGCTATCACCATCACATATGTCTCAATCACATCATAAATATAATCTTTATTACTACGTCACTATCACCATCATTATCAACGCCCTCATCAACATCTACCACCAACTCACACCATCACAAACACTCTTTATCCTGACCATCACTATCTCTCACTATCATCACCTCTCAACATCACTATCTCACATCATCTCTCGCTATAACCACATCACTCCATCACTGTCTCTCACTGTCACCATACATCACCATCTCTCACTGTCGCCATGTCACCATCAGCACCAGCCATCATTCACCATCACAATCTCTCACTCTCATTCTCTCTCCCCCTCACCCTCTCTCCCCATCACCACCAACCCTCACAACCCCTCCCCCCTCCCTTTCAGATAAACCTCCTCGCCTTCGTGATGGTGATGCGCTTGGTCTTAGCGCGAACGATGAAGGCCAAGAGTCCTCAGCCAGCTGGCACTGATAGCAAAGGGCAGACTGACCGAATCTGGGGCACCCTTACCATCTTCCTCGTCCTCGGCCTCACCTGGTTGACCGGGATTCTCTACGCCGCTTTCGGTACGGTAGGGTGGGGTGGGGTGGGGAAGAGGGGAAAGGGGGAAGGGGCGGGAGGAAGAGGGGAATGGGGGTAGGGGGAGGAAGGAGAGGGGAAAGGTGGAAGGGGGAGGAGGAAGAGGGGATGGGGGTAAGGTGTAAGGCAAAAGTGGGGGGTTTGGATAAGGGAAAAAGGGTGGGAATGTGGGAGGTGAAGGTAGGGTTGGGGGTAAGGGGGT